ATAGGCAGCCAGTGGAGAGATCTTAAAATCAGTGTGATATGATCACTCTTAGATGTTACAGTGATCAGCCTGGCTGCCATGTTTTGTACTAATTGCAATTTCCGAGTTAGGTATAAGGTTCAGTAGAAAAGATAATAATGCTAGGAAAAATAGAAGGTAGTAGAAAGAGAGGAAGAGCACATGCCAAATGAATAGACTCAATCAGGAAGGTCATGGGCATGAGCCTGCTGGACCTAAGCAGAGCAGTGGAGGATAGGCAGACTTAAAGATGTCTTATCCACAGGGTCACCATAAGCTGGGGTCAATTCAAAGGCAGTTAACAACTACTCTTCTCACTCAGTCTTCTATCCTGGGGTGGCCAAACTTGCTTAACATAAAAGCCGCATATGATAAACTTCAGGCACTTGAGAGCTGCAAGACATGAACAATAACACATCGTATTGTTACAAGCACACTTTGTTTCAAAACCTTTATAATAAATATGTATTAAGAGATACATGTCTATAATATTACTTATTCATGATTATAGTTTTTAAACTGTTAACTTGTATTAATTTCTATAATCACAAAGTATACACAAATATACCAAATGTTTTCAAACTCCTGATTGATTAATGTTTTAAATATATAGAGCATATTTAATACAATAATGAAATGTAGAAACATCCAAGAAAAACATGCAAATTTGCATTTAATTAATATTAAATGAGATTGGCAAAAATAAAAATAAATGGGGCAAAAAATATATTTTAATGATTATTATTTGTCATAGTATCTGGTACAAACATGGAGAAAAATATATAAATCAACAGTAACCCTTGCTAATCCAAAATTCTTTTAATCCCTTACTCAAATCCAGGATTAAAATTAGGATGTAAATTCTTACAGTTGATTTACTTATATTTTAATCCATGGATTCGGTTTATATCTGGTAATAAATTATAAAGCTTGATTTTTTAAAAAAATTACCTTTTATATGAATTGTAATGCAAAAAGGAGCTCAGCCAGCATATTTATGCTAGCTGCACATTATATGTCAATGAGACACACGTGGCA